TCCACCAGAACAGGAGTCTAATCTGAGTTCCATATCCTCTGAACGTAGTAATAACAATGGAATTGAAACAGCAAAAGGTGTGGGTCGACAACTGGGTGGATGTCTGTGCAAAAGAAAAACAAATATTATACAGAAATCTAATTAAAATGTATGTCATTTCAAGATATAAATTCAAATCCATGATGAAACTTTGTGTGCTACGATTGGAGAGAGTAGTGATCCTATGGCTAGAAGACTTTGACGAAAGAGCCCTCTCATCCACACATATAGAAACAAGTTTGTACAGACATTATTGTTGATGACACTTTGTTCATTTGGCCCCCAATGTCGTGAAACTTACAAGCCTTCCTAGAACATCTAAGTTCTATAGACAACAGAAACCACTTCACCATGGAAATATAGAAACAAAACAGCCTACCATGTCCTGACATACTCATCAGCAGACAAGAGAGAACAATCACCACAACTGTATACAGAAAACCCACCCACACGAACAGATACCTATACTTCAAGTCCTATCAACCAACCTGAATAAAAGGTGGTACTATCCAATGTCCAAACAAGAGAGCAGAGAACATTTGCAATTAACCATTCTGTTTAAAACATTCTACAATCTTTAGGCGTTCTGTTTCGATGAAACTCTACCATTTACCCCCCCTCCTACCTGAAAAATTCAGTGAAAAATTCAAACACATAGTCAAGAAATTCAACATCGAAGTCCAGTGGAAATCCTGCAAGACATTAAGGTCCATTCTGGTAAAAACCAAACAGCTGCCTACCAATGAGAAACACGAAAATGTCATTTATGAAATTCAGTGTTCCTGCAACGAAATATACATTGGAGAAACAGAACGAAGAGTCGAAACAAGAACATAAAATAAAGACAGTACAAAACTCATGAAAACACAAAATTCAGCCATTGCAGAACACACCATGTCAACTGGACACAACATAAACTGGGAAAAAACTAGAATCATCGAAACAGACAAATTTTGGAAGACAAGAAAAATTAAAGAATCATTTTATATTAACACAATTAAACATTCACTAAACAGAGATTCGGGATTAGAGGTGAGTAACCTGTGTCTACCATTGGTTGAATCTACAGGAATTTCTTCTCCAATCAGAAACAGGGATAAACCAATCAATCATAATACGCTCTCCACAATCCACCAGAATACCATAAAGACTGACTACACCTTACACACGCTGACCTGAAGACGAAAAGGTGGAAGACTTTTGAAACGTCGTCCTCTACACTTGTGTTCCTACAACAGGCAGTTGCCATCCATTCAACAAAGTTTCATCATGAATACTTTGCCTAAACAATCTATCAAAGAGTTCAAATACATTTCATTTTTTAACAAAACTATCTCATGATTAAAAAAGTATTTAGAACATTGTAAGTAATTTAAAGGCACCAAATATTTCTACATACGCAATAATTCCAAGAAATTACTTATATTTAAATACAAATATGCTGGTGAAAAGTAACCAGAAATTTTTGTCTTACTAAATTTAATGTCACAATCTCAACACGATGTAGAAAAGTGAAACCGATTGTGAATATTTCAAAATATACACGTCAAAACAAGTGTTTAATAAATTACAATTTCAGGACATTGATTTTTAAGCAAAGGTCATAATTCAATTCAGATTTATATTTTAGTAAGAGAATTTTAATATCATTCATAAGATTTATTTTTTAGAGGATGTACAAGTTATTGGGCTTTTGTTATAACATTACTTCTCACAAAGTTACTGCAAGTAACACAAAATTCTCACTTATGTAATACTTTTTAACCTTCTCTAAAAATGTGTGTGTACACGTAGTACTGGAAGGAAGAGTTTTAAGCTACTATTAAGTAAGAGACCTACCTCGTCTGAGGAATGAGCAAAGAAGAACCATGGAAAGTTAGACATATTGAAATCTTGCATTCTTGTTTTCTACACTTGTGTTTTGCATGAGTTGGTAGGCTGATGGTCACATTAAGCTCCTGGTCTGCAGCTTTACCTAGAGAAAGAGGATTGTGTCACACAACTAACATAGCGTGCTTGACCTGTACTTTTGTCCAATAATAGATTGAAAATAACCTTTTATTCATTTTTAGTAAGAGGTAAATATCCCATACATCCCTCATTTTTACTACACCTCCTAGAAACAGATTCTCTCAACACAAACAATAAAATAACAACTAGGTGCTAAAACTTCTTTGAATTTTACTGTATATTAACAATTTAGGAAACAGTATAAATGTGGAGTTCAGTATATTCAAATATATGATACTTGTTACCTTGAAACCTAGTGTTCAGTCTTAGCCTAAAATCCAAACAACGTCCAATTATACAGCTTTACACAAAGTCTGTCATATGAAACAATGGCGTGGCGTCTTATGGTCATTCAAACAATCATGGTTCAGGGTCACAGCAAACTGAAGACTTAAGAAAAATCAATGATTGGATACTGCAAGATAAAGGATAATTAAATGTATCACCTCAGTAATGAAATACTCAGGAGATAGATAGGCTGATGATAAAACACTACAGAACGGAAAGGATATGAATCAATCCATCTGCAGGAGAAAACAACCAGCATCTCATTAGAACAAAATAGTGGTGGATTAAGAATACACACTTGAAAATCAGGAGAAAACAACCAGCATCTCATTAGAACAAAATAGTGGTGGATTAAGAATACACACTTGAAAATCAGGAGAAAACAACCAGCATCTCATTAGAACAAAATAGTGGTGGATTAAGAATACACACTTGAAAATGAGAAAGGGTTAGAACCTCAGATGATAAATGGCCATAAAAGTGGTTTGGGTAATAAAAATATTACAACATTTTCAACCACAGGCTCATAAAAGTGGTTTGGGTAATAAAAATATTACAACATTTTCAACCACAGGCCCATAAAAGTGGCTTGGGTAATAAAAATATTACAACATTTTCAACCACAGGCCCATAAAAGTGGCTTGGGTAATAAAAATATTACAACATTTTCAACCACAGGCCCATAAAAGAAATAAAGCATTCAAAAGTTGACACTGAACAATCAGAAGAATAACTCTACTTTATAAAAAATAATCTCCATCTGCTAATGCAGTAGCATGAATGTTTAGTACCTGGATGTTTGGTTCACAGCAAAGAGAATTCCTTGCTATTCAACATCGTATTTCCACCACGACTAGACATAACTGGAAGGATATATCACAGTCCTTACTGAGAAAAGATATTAATAAAGCTAGATTGTTAAATGATAAGAACAGATACTTCAATAACATTAACCTTATAGTAGTTCCGGGGACAGACAGATCTAAAACTTTAACCTTATTATGGTTGTTCCAGGGACAGATCAGATCTAAAACGTTAACCTTATAGTAGTTCCCGGGGACAGCACAGATCTAAAACGTTAACCTTATAGTAGTTCCGGGGACAGCACAGATCTAAAACGTTAACCTTATAGTAGTTCCGGGGACAGCACAGATCTAAAACGTTAACCTTATAGTAGTTCCGGGGACAGCACAGATCTAAAACGTTAACCTTATAGTAGTTCCGGAGGCAGCACAGATCTAAACGTTAACCTTATAGTAGTTCCGGGGACAGCACAGATCTAAAACATTAACCTTATAGTAATAATGCTTGGAGATGGCTTGAATGGATAATGAAGAAAAACTTTAATATAAGTTTAATATAACAGCAAATGTACAACGTTTCGACAAGGTTTGTCATCATCAGGTACAAGTAATTTACACTGACATGGATATATATACAGCATGGAACAAAGAGGTCACATGACTGGATACTGTTGAAAGACTTAGAAGAGATATCTTGGCACCCCAAGGTGTTGGTTTAGAGTAGGGTTGTTTTGTTCAATTAAGATGGATTCCTCAATTTTTCGTTTGTTTATGTTAGGTTCTTTGTTTAAAATTACTTTGTTTTTAATAGATATACTATGGTTTTTTGAGTTGCAGTGGTGGAAAACATGGGACTTTTTTTTTATTGTGTTCTGTGAATCTGGTTTTCAATTTTCTTCCCATTTCTCCAATGTAGAATTCTGGGCAGTTATTGCATGTT